TGAGCTCAAGGATTGAGGCTAGCCTGGTGTACAGAGTGAGCTCAAGGCTTGAGGCTAGCCTGGGGTACAGAATGAGCTCAAGGCTTGGACTTTATTTTACAAAGTGAAAAGGGAGATGGAGCGTACCTGAGTGGTAGAGTGCTCACCAGGCATATGTGACGCCTTGGGTTCATTTTCTAATAGTGCAAAAACAATAAAACCCTTTTTATTATAACATTTTCAAACATACGTATATATTATTTTTATTTTTGAGACAAGATTTGATGTAGCTCATCCTGGCCTTGAACCCCCTATGAAACCAAGTGCCTGGCTAGTTTTATGTCTGTTTGACACAACAGTCATCAGAGAGGAAGGAGCCTTCACTGAGAAAATGCCTCAACTAGATGGTCCTATAGGCAAGCCTGTAGGGTGTTTTCTTAATTGGTGAAGGATGGAGGAGAGCCTGGGCCACTGTGGGTTATTCCATCCAGGGCTGCTGGTCCTGGGTTCCATAAGAAAGCAAAGCTGAGCAACCCACGGGGAGCGAGCCAGTGAGCAGCTCCCCTCCATGGCCTCTGCCTCAGCTCCTGCCTCCAGGTCCCTGCCCTGTGTGAGTTCCTGTCCTGCCTTCCTTAGATGATGAACAGTGATGTGAAAGTGTAAGCTAATAAACCCCGTTTTTGCCAAATTGCTGTGGTCATGGTGTTCCGTCACAGCCATAGAAACCCTAACTAGGACGCCAAGGACGCCCCTGAACTCCTGGTTTCCTTCCTCTTCCTCCTGAGTGCTGAGAATACAGGTGCTCACCACGTGCACGGTTTTACGTGGTGCAGGAATGGGATGTGGGGCAGCGTGCCAGTCAGGCACCTTAGCAACGGAGCCACACCCCCAGCCCCTCAAATATGTATTAGTTCACTTTCTGTTGCTATAATAAAAACACCTGAGACCTGAAATGGGTAACGACAGAGGTCAACACAGCGCACAGGTCTCTGTTTCTTTTCTTTGTCTTCTTTTTAAACTCAGTTTTCAAAGTTCAAGAGCATGACTTCCGCCCCTGCCCAGTTCTGAGCATCATGGAGGAATTGAATGGGAGGAGACATCACACGTCAGCATAGGAAGCCAGAGGGGTTTGGGCTTACTGTTGGATCATCGTCATCATCATCATCATCATCATCATCATTTTTTGTTTTTTTGTTTTTGAAACAGGGTCTCTATGTAGCCCTGGCTGTCCTGAAACTTGCTGTATAGAACAGGCTGGCCTCTAACTCACAGAGATCAACCTTCCTCTGCCTCAGGAATGCTGGGAGAAAAAGTGTGAGCTACCATGCCTGGCTGTTTTAATTTTTCTGCAGTGCTGAGGATTGAATTTTTGTATGCCAGATGAGTGTTCTACTACTAAACTATATAAACAACAAAAACAAGCAAACAAACACAACCCACAACCCCCCACTTTAAAAAGTAGTAGTATTAAGATTTTTTTTAACTATATGCACAGGTGTATGCCTGTGTGTGTGCACAGGTGTATGCCTGTGTGTGTGCACAGGTGTATGCCTGTGTGTGTGTGCACAGGTGTATTCCTGTGTGTGTGTGTGTGTGTGTGTGTGTGCGCACACACAGGCGTATGCCTGTGTGTGCATGTGTGCCATTCAGTCCCAAAGAAACACACAGAGACTTATATTAATTATTAACTGTTTGGCCTCTTAGCTCAGGGTTATTATTAACTAGCACTTACAACTTACACCAACCCATAATTCTTGTCTATGTTTAGCCACGTGGCTTTGTACCTTTTCTCAGTAAGGCATTCTCATCTTACTTCCTCTGTGTCTGGCTGGTGATTGATTCTGTGCCTTTCCTCTTCCCAGAATTCTTAGTCTGGTTACCCCACCTATACTTCCTGCCTGGCTACTGGCCAATCAGTGTTTTGTTAAACTAATATGAGTGATAAATCTTTACAGTGTACAAGAGCATTATCCTACAGCAGGGAACCAAAGTCTGGTCCTCTGTAAAAGCAACAATTACTCTTAACTACTGACCCATCTTCCCAGCTCCCCCCCCTTCTTTCTTTTCTTGGTTTTTGATACAGGGTTTCTCTGTGCAACAGCCCTAGCTGTCTGGGAATTAGCTCTGTAGACCAGGCTGGCCTTGAACTCACAGAGATCCACCTCTGCTTCCCAAGTGCTGGGATTAAAGGTGTGCACCACCCCTGCCCCCCCATCTCTTATATTCTTTGGCTACGTCTGACCACCTGCATTAGGCAGAATGGCACCTCCACACCAAGGCCACCAAAGATGTCACCATCCCAATGCTTGGAATTTACAAATATGTTAGGTTACTCTGCAAAGAGAAACAGGGCTCCTGATGCAGTTCATTAGTCATCAGACCTTACCATAAAGGGATTATCCAGGATTATCCGGGTGGGTCCAGTATAAACACAGTGTTTAAAATGTGGGCTTGGGAGGTAGAA